CACTGCACTCCCGTATCCAACACAGGGACACTCCTGGGTCCCCATTCTGGGCACTGGGACCCCCCTGAATCCCCTTGTCCTGCACCAGGACCCCTTGAACCCCCATCCCCAGCTCCAGGACCCCTCTGAACCCCCTTATCCTCAACAAATACCCCCCTGTATGCCTTTACCTGCCAATCCCACCTCTCCCAGCCCCCTGATCCTCCCTTTTCCTTGACCCTGGGACCCCCTGGACCCCCATTCCTGCCTTTCCCAGCCCCCAACCCCCACTTTCCTCAACACTGGGGACCACTGGATCCCCTTTTCCTTGGCACAGGGACCCCCTGGATCCCCTATCCTGCCTCTCCCAGTCCCAACCCCCCCTTTCCTTGAACCTTGGGCCCTTCCCAGCTCTCCCAGCTCTCCCAGTTCCGCTTCCTTGACCCGTGGACCTCCCAAACTCTTCAATCTCTGTGACCCCCCCATTTCTCCACTCCCTGTGCTTCCTGCAGGGGGGTCCTAGGCACCAGGAACGCCCTTGACTGCAATTCCTGGGCACCAGGACCCCCCTGAACTTCCATTCCTGGGCATCGGGACCCTCCTGAACCCCCTTATCCTGCACCAACACCTTCCTGCACCCCCTTTCCTGGCCATCCTGCCTCTCCCAGACCCCCTTTTTCCTGACCCTGAGACCCCCGGACCCCCTTTCCTGCCTTAACCAGCCCCTAGACCCCACTTTCCTCAACACTGGGGACCCCTGGACCGCCCTTTCCTGGGCACAGGGACCCCTGGATGCCCCATCTCACCTCTCCCAACCCCTGCACCCCCTTTCCTTTACCCTGGGACCCCCTCCATTCCTGGGCATGGAGACCTTTCTGCTCCCCCCTTTATCCAGCACCCAGATACCCCTGACCCCCCTCTCTGGTTCTGGGGACCCCCCCTACACCCTCATTCCCGGCCATTCTGGGTCTCCTCACCCCATGACCCCTCTTGCCCCAACACTGGGGCCCCCCCAGGCCCCCTTTCCTGGGCACAGGGACCCCTGGATGCCCCATCCCACCTCTCCCAGTCCCTACACCCTCCTTTCCTTGGCTCTGGGATCCCCAAACCCCCTTCCTGGCTCTCCCAGCTCTCCCAGTTCCCCCTTCCCATGACCCCCCTGGACCCCCTAAATCTCCGTGTCCCCCCAGTTCTCCACTCCCTGCGTTACCTGGATGTGACGGTGTCAGAGCCCAGCCCGGGGATCCCTCAATACCTGTCCATGGGATATGTGGATGGGATCCCCTTTGAGCGCTACGACAGTGAGAGGGGCCAGACGGAGCCGCAGATGCCGTGGATGGCGGCCAGAGCCGAGCCGGGATATTGGGATAGAGAGACCCAGAGCAATGAGAGGAACAAGCTCATTGCTACCACCAACCTGGAGACAGCGTGGGGCCTGTACAACTGGAGTAGGGGTGAGTGGGGGGGAGCCGGGGAATGAGGGGATCTGTGGGGCTGGGATGTGGATCCAAGGCGCTCCAAGGGGCTGGGATGAGGCTCTGTGTGTCTCCATCGGACTCTGGGGCTCCATAGGGCTGGAATAGGGCTCCGTGGGGCTGGGACAAAATTCCAGGGTCTCCATGGGTATGATCCCACCCCGCAGGTCTCCACACGGTACAGCGAGTTTGTGGCTGTGACCTCCTGTCTGACGGGAGCGTCCGTGGATCCTTTCGGCAAGGCTACGACGGGCGGGATTTCATCTCCTTTGAGCTGGGATCCGGGAGCTTCGTGGCGGCCGATGGAGCTGCCCAGATCACCAAGAGGAAATGGGAACACGATGGGATCGTGGCAGAGAGACAGACACATTACCTAAAGAACATCTGTCCAGAATGGCTCAGGAAATATGTTGGATATGGGCGGGAGGCACTGGAGTGCAAAGGTGAGGGAATGTGGCATTTGGGAATGTGGGATTTGGGAGGATGGAACTGAGGAACACAGGAGCTCCCTTGGGAATTCTGTGGATGAATCTGAGTCATCCAACTCCCATGGGAATTCTGTGAATGGATCTCACTCGAATCCCATTCCCGTGGGAATTCCATGGATGGATCCCACTGTTGTCCCATTCCAATGGGAATTCTGTGGATGGATCTCACCTTTATCCCATTCCAGAGCCCCCCGATGTCCATGTGTCTGGGAAAGAGGAACACGGGATCCTCACATTGTCCTGCCACGCGTACGGATTCTACCCCGGGATGATCAGGATCAACTGGCTGAAGGGGGATGAACTGTGGGATCAGGAGACGGAGTGGGGCGGGATCGTTCCCAACAGCGATGGCACCTTCCACAGCTGGGCCAGGATCGAGGCGCTACCAGGGGAGCGGGAGCAGTACCGGTGCTGGGTGGAGCACGCCGGAATGCCGGAGCCCGGGATCTTCGCCTGGGGTGAGGCTGGGAACAGGCAATGTGGGAATTGGGCATTTGGGAAGGAGGAATTTGGGAGTGTGGGACAGCGGGATGGGGGTAACCCTCTCCCTGTTCCCCCTCCTGCCCCTCCTGCCCTTCCCAGAGCCGGAATCCGTCTGGAATTCCATCCCGGTGTTGGTGGCTGTGTCCGTCATTGCTGCCATCATCATCATCGGCCTCGTGGGAATCGGTGTCTGGAAGCTCCGATCCGGTAACTCCTGGAATGGGGGTCGGGAAGGGGCACGGATCTGCCTGGCAGCATTCCGGGGATTGTGTGCCATGGGTGCTGATCCTGCTTTATTTCCATAGGGAAGCGGGAAGGGAATGGATACGACCCCGCAGCAGCGTGTGTGGATCCAGATCCTCTGTGCAGGGATCCCAGGATGGATACTGGGATTCCAGAGGGGAATTGGGGTCTAATGGATGGAGTGGGATTGGAAGGGGATTCCAGCTCAGGGCAGGATTCCAGAGTGGGCTCAGGTGGAATTGTGGACTGGGATCAGGGCTGGATTCTGGAGTGGGATTGGGGTGGGATGGACGGAGCAGGATCAGGTGGGATTCTGGAGCAGTTCCTACTCTCCATGGGCTCCACAGTCAGATCCATCCCCTGGGATGGGAACAGGGACATAGTGACTCCTTTCCCTGCTCTCATCCCAGCAGGAATCATGGCCTGAACAATCCTGGAGCTGGATCCACCCCTTCCCTCTCCCTGCAGAAAGGCAGGAGCTGCTGGCAGAGCTCATCCCTCTGCTCCCACCCACCCCGGCCCGCCTGCGGCTCTTCCCGATGGATCAACTTCCTGCTTTTTTCCTGTGTGAAACTGTCAGAGACTGAAACAGTCAATGATTTCTGCATTCTGGGATTGCCAGGAGACTTTTGCCGGCTTTTGCAGGACTTTGGCATTATCCCTCTGATGGGCAGCTGGTCCCATCTCTCCCTCCAGTGCTACTGAAGGTGTCAAGCCCTGAAAAGGAGAGAAGAGCCAAGTTTACCAGGCCCCTCACGGAACTCTGCGCTGGGCTGTCCGAGGTGTTGGGGGTTCATGGCATGGCCCATCAAAGCCCATCCCCCCTCTGCCAATCTTGGAAGGTGGGAAAAAGCCTTTTCCCTGCTCCTCATGGGAACTCTGGGCAGGCCTGGGAGACTTTGGGGTTTCATGGCATGACCCAGGACACTGACCATGGATATAAGAACTCATAACTTCCATGAGTGTGGGGGCTTCCCTCCCTCACCCCCAATGGATCAAGGCCACCACTTTAACTGACAGACATGGGAGCTGCAACTACCAAGTTCCATCTCTGGACCCCGTGGGTGGTGACTATAGACATCTGTCCACTCTCAGCTTTTCTTTCCCTTCCTCTCCCTTACCCTTCTCCTGTCCTTCCTTTCTCTCCCTTATGCATTTTCCCCAAAGGTTCTCTTTATGCCATGTTGCTGTAGATGAGAGATACAGATGATAACACCCAAAATGGCAACGTACCTGTTTACCTTTGAAACAAAATTGTTCTAAAATAAACCCTACATATGTAAGTTTTCAAACACTGATTATTCAGTGTCGTTTCACTCTAATCCACCTGAAGGGATTTATTAATAAGAACCTGGGTTACCCTCCCCCTTTTCTGGGGTGGGTTGTAACATTTTTGGCATCAGGGACAAGGATCCTTTGGATGTGGTTGAGTGATCGGTGTAGTCCAAAACTGACACCGAGAGTGAGTCAAATGGTGACCGTCCCCTCATTGTGAAATTATAGTGATAATTTTTCTCCTCTTGATGTGACCCGGGCACATCAGACCTGTTGAAAGGTTTCCTGGTGTAGGCTGGACCTGTTGAAAGGTTTTCCAGGAGAGAGTCAAGCCAACCCTCAGAGGGTTAAGGGGGAGAAAGACATTAACCTGAGCTGGGTTAATGACTGAGTCAAAAGGAATGACATTAGACTTTTGTGATGCAGTCACCTTGTATAAGAAGAAGGGAGATAAATCAGACTGCTCAAACTACCAGAGTATTAATCTGCTCTCCATTGCTGGCAAAATCCTTGCAATACTTTTGAACAGACTAATACCAGCTATAGCAGGAGAACTTCTACCTGAAAGCCAATGTGGTTTCAGATCCAACAGGAACACCACAGACATGAGATTTGTTCTCAGACAACTGCAAGAGAAGTGTAGGGAACAGAACAAAGGTCTCTATGTAACCTTTGTTGATCTCACCAAGGCTTTCGATACTGTGAGCAGAAAAGGTCTGTGGCAGATTTTGGAACGTTTAGGTTGTCCCCCCAAGTTCCTTAAAATGATCATCTCACTCCATGAGGATCAGCACGGCCAAGTCAGATATGGCAATGCACTTTCTGAGCCCTTTCTAATAACCAATGGTGTGAAACAAGGCTGCGTTCTTGCACCAACCCTATTCACAATCTTTTTCAGCAGGATGCTCCAAAGGGCCACGGCAGATCTCGATGAAGAAGATGGGATCTACAGTCGATACCGTACTGATGGAAGCCCTTTCAACCTAAGGCGACTGAAGGCCCACACCAAGACCTTAAACCATCTTGTCCGGGAGCTGCTTTATGCTGACAACGCCACCCTCGTCACTCACACAGAAGCAGCTCTGCAGCGTTTAACATCCTGCTTTGCTGAGGCTGCTGAGCTTTTTGGGCTGGAAGTCAGCTTAAAGAAGACAGAAGTCTTCTATCAGCCTGCACCTCAGGAAGTCTTCCGTCATCCCCGTATCACCGTTGGCGAATCAGAGCTCAAATCAGTCCAGCAGTTTAATTACCTAGGTAACCTCATCTCCTCAGATGGTAAGAGTGACGGAGAGATAGACAACAGGTTAGCAAAGGCATAGAGAGCTTTTGGAAAACTCCATAAAAGAGTTTGGCAAAATAAACACCTGAAGAAAAGTACAAAGATCAGTGTTTACAGAGCCATTGTGCTGTCTACTCTCTTATATGGGTCTGAATCATGGGTCATCTACAGCCACCACCTGCGACTCCTGGAACGCTTCCATCAACGCTGCCTCCGTACAATCCTAAACATCCACTGGTCACATGATGTGACCAATACGTCTGTATTTGAACAAGCAGCAGTCACAAGTATTGAGGCCATGTTGCTGAGAACACAGTTGTGTTGGGCAGGGCACGTCTCCAGGATGAAGGACCAACCACCCCCTCCCTAAGATCGTGCTCTGTGGTGAACTTGCCACCGGCTGCCGCAAGAGAGGAGCCCCAAAGAGGAGATACAAGGACTCCCCGAAACAACATCTCAGCCTTGGCCATATTGATCATCATCACTGGTCTACTCTGGCCTCCAGTCAGGAGGTCTGGAGACACCCCATCTATAACGCTGCTGCTTCCTTTGAGAATGCACGCAGGATCACTCTTGAGGAGAAAAGACAACGCAGAAAGAATCATGTCTTGTCGATACCATCCAAGGAGTCTTTCTGCTCTGCCTTTTGCAACTGCTCTTATCTATCTCGTATTGGCCTTTTTAGCCACCAGTGTGCTTGTAGCAAATGTGGGCAAAGCCCTTCCCAAATCTTCGTTCACAAAGCCCGACTATGAAAAAAATGTATCTCTTTAGAGTGTTTTTCCCCTCAAATCCACACTGGGTCAGCAATTCCCAGCTCAACTGTGACATGGGAATGTTCCACCCATTTGCCTCTTGCTTCCCCAGCTCTGGTGGGGAAGGAGACATGCTCCCAAAAAAACCTGTTATGTTTATCAGAAACTGCCTTGTTTCTCAATTTTGAGGTTCCTGTGGCTGCAGCAGCCCCTCCCAGGGCAATTTTGGGTTGGAATTTCCACAGCTCAGCACTTTGCATTTGGATATAAAACAGGAATAAGGCCTCCTTTCCCTGTTCAGCATTCAGCAGTCCTGGCACCTTTTGTGTGGGAGCAATCCCTGGATTAACTATTCTGGGAGCTGGGCTCAGGAGGTGAGAGTGATCTCAGGAGCCCACCACCAAATCTCAGGAGCTCCACCAAAATTTGGAGCCCAGTTCCCCAGCCAATATCAGAGCTGAGGCAGTCCCCACCCAGTTGTGTAAGGGAGGAAATTGTCATGATAAGAAGCACCATCCCATCTCCCTTCTTTTATCTGGCTCAAAACTCAGCTTCTCACTAAACAAAGGTTGATTTGTTGTGGGCACCCTCTGGGGCCCATGCCCTCTGTCCCTGGGCTGTTACTGTGCACATCGTCAGCAAAGCATCCACTGCTTTTGCAAATGGCTGATTGCTTGAGCCATTAACCATTAACGTTTCAGTCTCACGGGGGACCCTCGGGACTGCCTACAGCCCGGAGAGGGGGCGTGTCGGGGAGGGGTTGAGCCTGGAGAGAGGGAACCCCTGGGACCCACAGCAGCTGAGGTGGAGGGAGCCCAGGGACCCTGAAATGTGGGACCTGTAGAGGGAGGACCCCAGAGAGGGGGGAATGTCGGGACCGCTGGCAGCCTAGAGAGGAGGAGAGCACAGAGAGAGGGTAGCATGGAGAGGAGGGACTCCTGGGACCTCTGGGGTCATGAAGTTCATTATAAATTCCTATCAGGCTGAACAAAGGCACTGGACATGTGTCAGGAACTCTTATGTTTTATTGTTTTATTGTACCCAACACTTCCATGGACTCTCAACTTCCCCCACAAACTCCTCCAAAGCACTGGCTCACAAGGCCCAGTACAGCTCCACAATCTTCCCTTCTTCAGCATCCACCAATCCTGTGTGACCCAGAGACTTTGTGTGCATAGGAAGACTCGTATTCAAACGAAATAAATGAACCTACAGCAATTTTTTTGAGATCCATCCTCAGCAAAGCAGGAATGAATGGGAAATGAGAACAGCTTTCTGACTGCACCAGCTTTGGGATGGGCCTGGTGTGTGCAGCAGTGAGAGCTCTTGAGGACCACAAGGGCTTTTGTGCTGCCCTGGGAAGATGGGATGGCAGAGAGGGGCTGCAGAGCTCTCAGGATCTTCTGGAGAGGAGAGCAGGGCACAGAGGAAGCCTCCTTTTCCTTTTGCCAATCTTGTTCACCCATTCAGTCCTCTCTGAGCTCCAGCTGCTGCTGTGTTCTCTCAAAGGGGCTGGAGATGTACCACTGCCCAAAGCACCCTGCCCTGGGCAAGGTGGTGGGGCCAGACCTGACTGGGTTGTGCTGGGGAGAGGCCCTTGGTGGTGGAGAGAGCTCAGGGGAGGTGGGAGAGCTTGAAGGGAGCTGAACTGGGCTGGAAAGGACCTGGAAGAGAAAATCATCAATGTGTATCTGACACTGTGTGACTGTGCAGGAAGAGGACTCACACCAGGGGGATTGTGGTGCAGAGCCACGGCCTGTGGAAGGTGTCAAATATTTGAAACTTCCAGAGAGAGGAGGCTGATCTGTGCCCTTGGTGGCATGAACAGACCAGGAAGGTGGCCCAGGACATTAGTTACCCCCCAGCCTCTCTCCTCAGCCATTTCTGGCACTGACTGCTCAGCCCAGGATTATGGGTGAGTTTTACTGTGCCCCCTCCATCCTCCTTCTGGGCTCAGGGCCTGTTCCATGGCCATGACCAGCCCTGCCTGGCCTCTCTTCTGGCCCAGAGCCTGGCAGATCCTGGAGCAGGACCCTCTGTGACAGAGCCTCTCCAGGAACTTGGAGAGGCCGCTGAACAGGAAAGCTCTGGGGTGACCAAGTCCCAAGGACTGCCCTGGACATCCCGTCAGAGGGTCCATTCTCCACCCTGAGTGCTCCTGTCCTGGGCTGGGCCTGCACAGTTGGGGTTGTGGGGTCATGTGATGGAAGCAGGCCTAGGATGTCACAGGACAGGTTATGAACAGGGGTCATGAAGCTGCTGCCAGGGGGTGACAGCAAGGCCAGGTCCGGACAAGGAATTTCTGGGCTGTGCAGGTGGGACTGTGGGAAAGACAAAGCTCACCTGGAGTTGGTGGCTGCAAGAAAAGCCAAGAGCAAACAGAGCTTCAATCTCTCTGCTGGAGACCAAAGATCAAAGAGGGAAATGCAGGGCTGCTGTGGAATGGGGAGGGGGATTTAATTCCAGCAGGTGCTGAGGGACTCCATGACTTCTTTGCCTGAGTCTTTACTGGAAAGGTCTCTCAGGCCTCTGCTCGCTGAGGGGCTTCAAGGGGGGGGGAGAGCACATGTTGGTAGGAACCTCATAAAATCCCAGAAGGACAAATGCCAGTGTCTACCCCTGCAAGGGACTCATCCTGGCCATGGCACAGGCTAGGAGCTGCCTGGCTGGGAGCAGCCCAGTAAGAAAACTCTGATGGGCAGGGAGCTGGGCAGGAGGCAACCGTGTGCCCTGGCAGCAAGGGAGGCCAGGAGCACCCTGGGCTGTGTGACCCCTATCAAGGTGATGGATTATCCAGGTTACCGTGCCTTGTTTTTGGTTCCTCAACAAAGGAAAGATGTCTGTAAGCTTGAGCAGGTTTAGTGAAGGGGCTGGAGCACTTTGCCTGTGAGGAGAGGCTGAGGGAGCTGGGCTTGGATTGGGTGCAGCCACACCAACATTCCCCTCGGAGAAGGAGTTTAGAAAGCCAGGGGTCCTCTGTGGGTTT